AAACCTGTCCCTCCTGGCGGAGGGGGGGGAAGTTTGGGGTTGCTGCATTGAATGGCAGCCAATACTCTGGGGCAGGAGAGCCCGTGAAGCAGAGGGACCTGCGACCCTCAGCACCCTCTGCCCTGGGGAAGGCAGAGGTGAGACACCCCCGGCAATGGCCAGGCAGTCCTCAAGGCTGTCTCCTCCTACCGTGACCTGTCAGGCCTGAGCCTTATTCAGCCTAACCCACACTGGTTTGTTCCCCAGATCATATTTTATCATATATTCCACAGATGAAACCTTTCTCCCCTCGGCAGCTGGGTTTTCACGTTCAGTGCTTGCAACAACACCCGCTTTTATTGGAGTGGTACTGGCCACCTGCCAGCATCACCCCTTGTCACCCCTGTGCCGTTCTGTGCATCACCTGGCAAAACCCCCTATCACAAAGCTGAGAGGGGATGGTGCTCTACCAACCCTTTTTGGCTGCCCCAATATCTGCCTTCTTGCCGGGGCGAAACGCCCGGCACGTGTCCCCGTCCCTGGGGCGGCCGTGACTCAGCGGGAGGCGGGCGAGAGCATCTCACCTTGAGCGAGGCCAGCTGGGGGATAAGAGCGAGGCCACCCTTGCCTCCCTCTCCCGTCACCCGCTCACATGCTCGCCCGGGCCGTGCCCAAGGCAGGCGCCTTGCGGGGATGTCCCCCTGCCCGAGCCGGGGGCTGCCGCTGGGCTGGGGGGGCTGCCACCCCCATCCCGTCAACTCCTCGACCCTTCAACCAACTCCCCGGTGACTGGCGAGCCGGCTGGCTCAACCTCTACCGCTTCTGGCAGGAGGGTGGCTTGCACAATGTCCATCACATCATGGCTCGCAAGTTCCAGCAGTTTGGGCCCATTTACAGGTGAGGCAACATCTGGCCCCGGCATCCCCCCACCCTGCTCCCCAGCCCCAGCAGTCTTTCCGGTCCAGGATGCTGCTGCTGCTCCCAGTCCTGCTCTGGGAAAGATGGGGGGTAAATAGGTGGCTGAGCTGCCAGAGCAGCCTGGCTTGCTGTGCTCCGGCAGGCTTGATGCTGCGGTGAGGGGCGAGACCCGCTGATCCCTTGCGGATGTGGGATGTCGGGAGGAGGGGGCGGCAGGGCTGGAGAGGCGCTCTGCCCCCCTGTGATTTCCATGGGGTCTGAGGCTGACACCCCTAGGCAGAGGGGATGGGGAGGGGGTTCAGGTCCAGCACTCCCCAGCTATGCCTGCCTGAGCCCTGGGTGCCTGATCCTGGTGCTGAGCTGCTGCAACCCCTGGGATGGAATCTGCAGGCAGGATTTAAGGGGGTGCGAGGGGGAGGGTGGTTGATTTTGGGGGTGCTGGGGGAAGGTGCTTGATCTGGGAAGATGAGGGGCTGCAACGGAGGGCACTGGGGTGTGGGTTAGGGTACGAGGCTGACTCCTCTCTGTGCCTCGGCAGGGAGAAGCTGGGTGTCTATGAGAGTGTGAACATCATCAGCCCCCAGGACGCCGCCACCCTCTTCCAGGCGGAGGGGACACTGCCGGAGCGCTTCAGCGTGCCCCCCTGGGTGGCTTACCGCGACTACCGCAACAAGCCCTACGGCGTGCTCCTCAAGTGAGTCACAGGGCCGGGGGGGGTCCCTCCAAATGGGGCTCCCAGGTCCTATCGCAATAGCCCCAGCGCATGGGGAGGTGAGAAGCTGGAGCACCAGGAGACTGATGGGGACATTGGCTGGCC